CCCATCCTGTGATACACCGCCAACAACCACAGAAGACCGTACACAGCAATCTTCTACTCCGGGAACGTCTACTGACGAGAATACCCTGCTAGCACTCCGAGGACCAATCAGAAGAGCAAGCCAATTCGACGAAGCTCTTTTGAAGGAGGAGAGTTGTGGTGATTCGGATCTACGAGATTACGCCTGCTCTGGAACAGCGCGGTACAGTTTCCGGACATTGGTAGTCAGTCGACCTTGAGCGCTGACGCCAGTAGCACGTGCACAGCCTCCGGAAACACGTCATTGGTGGACCGTTCCAGCCAATCAGATGCAATGCAGAGAAGAGCAATATGACGCAAGATGTGATGCAATATTATTGGTGGAAACTAAGATAACCAATGATCTTTTGTGCACATATATATTCACTTTCATTTCCTTCAATAAACGACCTTGTGATTCGCCTGTCTTGTGGCCTTTTTCCTCGCGTCTCGATCCTGCGGGTTATAGCGAGTTCGAGCCATTGCGGTCCAGTGCCACCGGATTTCTAATTCGTGTTCCGTGATTACTATTGCGTAGTTCGTGTCCTGAATTCTGTGCGTAATTCTACTACTACTACTACTTCTACAATCACCACAGGAAATCTGCATAGAGGATTATTCGCTTTCCTCATAAATAGATCCTTCTCAGTGAGGGTAGGGGGAGGCCAGTTCTCAAGTCATTCGATTGACCAGTGGAGTGCCTCAAGGTTCGGTTCTTGAACGGTTACTCTAACTTTTATTCACCAATGATTTAGCGGGGTTATTGAACTCACCTTGTTTCGTCTTCGCAGATGACGTGATGGTGATAAGATCGTGCGGTATGGCTAACCTAGCAAGGGACATTGAACGTGCAAGTGAGTGGTCAAATAAATTTGACTTGGCGCTGAATGCGGCCAAATGTCAACTATTGTCCGAACGAATGGATCCATTGGTTACTGTCGGTACGTGGGGAGTATTCACTTCCCAAACGGTAGAAACTGCCAAGGATTCTGGGGTAGTAATGACTTCGGATTTCAGCTGGGGTAGCCTATGTGAAATCGCAGCTCACAAGGAACGGGGAGAACCTTTTCGGCCCAGATCAGCTCTAAACTGCAGAAAACCGGAAATCTTTGTCCTGCTGTACAAAGCAATAGTAAAGACTCATCTAGAATACTGCGTCCAAGCCTGGGCGGCTTTGCACGGAAAAGACACCGCCTGCCTGGAGAAAGTGCGGAGACTAGCTACAAGAATGGTAGAGGGGCAGAGTGGTAACTCATACCAGGAAAGATAAAGGGACCTCGATCTATTTTCGATAGAAAGAAGGCGAATTGGAGGAGACCATATAGAAGTGTTTAAAATTAGGAGGGGATTCTCTGGGACTCCGCCTGAGGAACTCTTCACTGATTACCCATATGCTGATAACAGGGGTCACGAGTAAAAACTGATGGAGAAAAGGAGTAGGTTAGTGTAATAATCAAATAGGAACCGGAATTGAACAGCGCGAACTTGAACTCGGACTGAAAACCAACTGAATTACGCAACGCAAGGTAAAACCAAGACGAGCTGTGGATACAGATGATTCTATTGAGAAAAGCACGCAAATATATATCACATGCGACCAACAGTTATTGGTCGGTTCCTGGACGTCCAATTGGCGACAGTGTGGTTTATTATTATACCTTCATGTATTCGGCCAATCTGGTTGATACCAATCGGGACCACAGGATTGGTCGGTTATTCTATTCTTGATTGGTTAGCCGGAAGCTGTACCGCGGTGCGTGAGTATTCGTTGCACGATCACCACAACTTCATTCCTTCAAGAGAGCCTCGTCAATCTGGCTCGCCTGACGACGGGACCTGCGTAATGTGGTCGTTGGCTCCGCATGTTCCTGATGATGCCTTTGCGTTTCTGTTGGTTGTGTTTGCGGATCTAATTGCCGCGGCTCCGTCTGGTGTTCTGCCGGGGTTTGAACCTGATTGTCTTCCTCGCTTGTTTCTTGATGCTGCTGCTCCGTAGATGACTTGAATTGGATTTCGTCCACGTGCCGTTTGTGTACAGTAGCATCACTCAAGTCGGTAATTTCCACCATGGCTTG